AAAAAAAAAAAAAAGGAGAAAAAGGGTAACAAGAAAATATTAGACTGAACCTTATAGGATAAGTCCCCGTCATAAATTCTACTAAAGACATAAGTAAATGGAAGTTTACACAATTTTTTCGCAGAAAGGCACAGCTCGGCAGAATAGTTTAACATCTAACAACTGAACGAACAGCTGTTGTGAAGTACAGAAACTTTTATCGTCTTGTTAAAATTGCAAAGGCGGCGAATATGTCCAATGCGAACAACAAAATGAGTTTATCAATTTCAAGCACAAACCACTACATGGAGACATCACGAGCCTTGTACATGCAAATATAAGCCATGTGCCAGTCACCTGAAATAATATAAGTAGCTTATCTCATTAACGAATCTACACAAGGCCTCCACACTCGATTTGGTGTTGCATTAATTTCCTTTTTTTTTTAAATGAGGTTTGAAAAACATCGGCTATTTTTCAAAGTGATATACCCTTTTCTTATTTGTTTTGATATTTGTAATGCATCCTACAATGCTTGATGTACCTTAAGGGGGTACTGTATAAAGTGTCAAAATTCAGGGATACTTTGTGTAATAATTTATTTCATGATAACGAAAGGGAAAACAACTAGGCAAAATCCCTTACCTCCTCCTGAGAGCTTAGTGATATTTTCCTCCCGTTGAGGAATCGGATTATCATCATCAAATTCAACCCATTTTCCTACAAAGCACACACAAAAGTTTTACTTTTCAGAATAAAACATTAAATCTGACAAAAGCAATAATATATAAAGTGAAATAGTAGAGTAGTTAATTTTGGACACTTAACCGTTTTCTTGCTTAACCCAGGCAACATAATGCCCAGAATCAGCACTTCTACCCTTGTGAGTGAGCACAGCAACCAAATCATACACCCCTGTCAGGTGCTTCTCTTTCTCCGCAGTTGTACCTGAAATAAAAAAATAAAATCAAGAACGCGTTAAGACTATATTAAGACTATCAATGTGGATAAATCCAAGCCTGATCAAATAAAGGGAAAAAAGGTTTTTGATGTCAACATTTGCTTCTGCTCAATTTAATCAGAACGTAAATGCAGCAACAGAACAGGTCCTTCTATAGACAACTAAGCAATGTGTAACTAATTAAGTTAACTCTCTCAATTGAAGTTTTTACAAAAGGTTCTCAACAACTTACAGTTCCTGCAGCAATGAATCACTTATTATAAAAAGCATAAGTTCATACAAACACTAGCAATGTATTTCTAACACACTAAGGACACAAAATTCTTTACTGCCATTCATTGACGATTACAACAATTTTAAGAAGGTAATGATATAGGCACTATTCCTGTAGAAGCTTTACCGTTGTGTTCAGTTTGTTCACAGTGCTTACGAGATTCGTTACAGAGTTTTTAATAGAAAAAAAAATACTAAATCTCTTGAAGGGTGACTACCTTCTCCAGGTGCAGATTCCGCATCAACTTCACTTCTATTTGAAGAGCCCTGCACAAAAAAACGAAGTTATACAAGCTCAATGAAGATCCTACTTAAGCGGAATTGAACCACGATAATAGCTTTGTCTCTTTTATCCCATAGGATGTTTATCACCACTAAGATCAAATAAACCCACCTCAGCATCAGTCATCTTGACATCATTGTCCGTAGAAGTTGAACCTTTTTCGTTTGTTTTCAGGCCAAGCTTCTTTCCTTCTTCATCTCTTAGGGTCTACAAAAAAAAAAAAACAGAATATAAAGAAAGCTCAAGTATGAACACATCTTTCAGGTTGAGCTTAATGAAAGTATTTATACTAAAATAACCCTACAAAAAATAAAGAAAAAAAGGAAATTTGAGATAAGTCTGGTATGAACAAATACTGCAGTTTGAGCTTAATCGAAGAAGATGCGAAAAAGCTCATACCCGTCGAGGGACTTCCAGTTTCTGGCGCAGCTCATCTGAACAAAGATCATATACATCTAATTCCAATGGATAGTCCACTTTCTACGGAACAAATGGGAACACATCAGTGGCAGATGATTAATTCATATGAGCCAACATAGCGAATCAATAGCATCTTGTTCATGAATCAAGTATTGCACCCATTACTCAGACCTTATAGGATCATTTACAATTTAAATAATTTCATTTGCGCTAATTGTAAATGTGTTCTGCAAATTAGTTCTGCACCAATCCATTAATACTGGAATTTGAATTGGAGTAGGATAAAAATTTCTGAATCTGAATCATCTCAAAGAAATTTATCTCAGTTGCGTGCAATGCTTCCATGGGAAAAACAAAAGAGGATAAGTGTAGGTGATTCCGCATTTTACTCCTGACTGCGGAAATCAACTAATCTCCAACGTAAATACATTGATTTCACTTAGGTTGCATATAAACATTGACATTAATGTAAATTAAACAAAAGTTATTCTAGTGAAGAAGTTTGTGATTCCTTCGAAACTGTTTGCATAAATGAAGATATTTGTATTTACTATTTACTAGAGAAGTCCCTATTTCAAAGGGAAGAGAGAAGTTATACACCAAATTACGTAAAACGTTTTATTCTTTGGAATTTTCTTCTTTGAACCATTATACTCCTCGTTGAAAATAAACATACAAAAGAAAGAAACAAGTTACCCGCAAAATTTTAGCCTTCTGATTTGTTTCTCTTTTCCAGAAAAAGCGCACAAATTGAATAGTCAAGTACCTGTAATTTGGAGCAATTAGGTTAGTCCATCCTAAATGCAAAATCTTGACGGAGGAAAGATAATAAGATGTCTCTGAAGTCTCAGCAAGACAGAGATGACAACATGAAAACACACGAATGATAGGAGATTAGGAGAATAGAAAGTCCAGAATACCTTGGCAAGTCATTTATGCGAGAATCTTTTGAGTAAATAGCACTGCGTCCAAGGGCGGGAGAAGACTTCTCCAATTCTGATTTTAAACCCTGGGAATATAATAAATAAAAAATAATTTACTAATAGATTCCTTTACATGATTCAATATGCAACTAAAGAAAAAGGTTTAATTTGTAGACTACTCCACATTTTCACAATGACTGTATCAGTCAAATACCAGTTATCAAAGCATTAATGATAAGGTTGACCATGATGCTAACATCTGAATTTTCATATTTCATCTAACAAATATTTGAGTTTGTAAAATATATACAGCAGCTTATCTAATACAAAATCTGCTCTATCAATTACTAGTTTTACCAGCAATCTTCTCAATTCAAAGTAGTTTCAGTTCCTAAATGTTTAGCACTCGATTTACAATAATAGTATCATGCATTATATCCCCGGTGAGCATGCATGTTCTTAAATGTTACACTTTCAACCATCCGCTAACAAAAATTATCTCTTCATTTTATTCATCACTAGGTGTATTCATTAAAATATTTGTCAGGTGATTTTTTTATACGACTGAAATAGTACGCTTACCACAAGATAAAATGTAGTGAGTCAAGAAAAAAAAAAAAATTCCAGTGCATAGCAAGCTCGAATTCCATGCTAATAGGAATTTCAAGATAAAATGACAATTAATGGAAAACAAACTACTATAGCACAATGTAACACGGAAAATCGGTACATGACTTACATGTTTTAAGCCTTCATGTAAATGATTCACATCTTGTGAAATATGGCATTTGAGTGAATATACTGATTCTGCTTCCGTACTTTCTTCACTACTTTCAGCACAATGGACTCTAGCCACAATAGTTAATAACAACGAAAGTTAAATTAAAGATGGTCATTACATGCACCAGATATCCCGCCCTATATATTAATTCAAAACGTGTCGAGCCTAAGTGGCAGACTCACACGCTTCGGATGCTGACATGGCAAAAATCTATGCTTCGGTATGTTGTTCGTATATTGATTTTTTGCTTTGGAATTAGGTTTGGTATAGACATAAATAACTTTTTTCAAACTTGGTAAGTGTACATTTAATTTTGTTATTTTTTCTCTTAGTACAAATTTCCTTCTTAATTTGAGCAAGTAGCAATGTTACATCTAATAAGTTTCTCTCATATTTCTCTCCTAAATTACAATTTACAAATCACTTTTTGCACTGTGTATTCCTTTTCTTTCATTAATTAGTCTATCAAAAATTTTAAATAAAATTCTTATTAGCAATAATTTTTATAATATATTTTTTTAACTCAACACCCGTGTAGTACACAGGTATTGTACGAGTAAAACTTTAAAACTAGAAATGACTAGGGACAGGGCACATTCATGGAGCTTCAAAAGTCTTTGGACTGAATTTATTGTAAAAATAATTCAAGTACATAGCCCGCAATCGTATGATCTTACTGATCCCTTAATTGGTTCTCATATTATATAGCCTGTTTTAAATTTGCACCATGCTGATACCTACTGTACATTCCCTGCACATCCTTGGACAGTAAGGATGCATTTCAGAACCGGTTAGCTGAGTGTTGGCAGCTTTGGGCATCATTTTGCTTGATGATGTTACAACTTAGTCGCAACATACTGTTTGAGACCTTAAAAGCTGCTAAGTTTTTCACTGACAAATAAGGATGTCTTCCCTATTCGATAACTAGTAGTAGAAGCAGCGATGAGACCCAGATAATTGTAGTGTGCTTCGGATAGGTTAAAGTTCAAACTATGCTAGGGTTGCTCTTTGGATAGATCTTCGTAAAATGCTGATGTCAGATATTATTGCTGTGCTGAACAGTAAAAATTGATAATTAGTTTCAGTATTCCTAACATATTGTTACAAGCTCCTTTCAAGGTACATGCACTATTCAGAGTTATAATTAGTGAATTGTTTAATTTCGAGACAATTCTAATAGAGTAATATTTATTCTATTCTTCCAGTCAAGATCAAGTAAAATGCACGGTAATTGGAGACTAAGTTTGTAAAGGGTTGTCCAAGTAGATAAAAATACATGACTACCTAGACAATGCCAAAAAAAAAATATTTCGAGATTAATCAACATAAATAGCATCAATTTAATATAATACCCATAGCCAAAATACTCGACCAAAATGGAGCATAATAACAAACTTAGTAACCTGCTAACTAGATCGATGCCGAAAAGCCTTTTCACCGCATCATCTCCTTCACTGCAAAATAAACCATATGGAAAGCACATTATGGTTTGAATATGGCAATGGAAACTTGATTGGCTAATTGCAACTATATGATAAAACGACAAAAATGAAAAGTGAATATCTGCGTGAGACAGGACACAATGTGACAGGAATACAAACAAACATGGTCCAGCTATGAGAAGAAGAGTGCCACCTGGGATGTTGTTTCAGGGATAATGAAAGGGTGAATAAAAGTTGAGTCCAACACTCTTCAGCATCCTAGCAACAAATGTACTTCAGTATTAGAAAACTTACTGGGAAAATCTTAAAATATGAGGTCAGTTGAAAATCTACCTGCTGCATGTAAATTCCATTGTGAAGCTGCGCAAATTGAGGATACTTGTTCCGCAAGGCCTAAAATTGGAAACAAATTAATCAAGAAAGATACTAAGACTGAGTAAAATTTCTGATTACAACATTTAACTACCAAAAGCTGAGGTGCTAAAAAATGCATTTGATTGTTTGATGCAACACTTGCAGCACTTAAAAAATGCATCTGCTACAACCAGCTTTATTTTTTTACAAATAAGGACTTCAAGCAGTCTAAGAAAGCATTACGGTTCTTACAGCATGACACAGGTACTAGGACGTATTATTATTAAATTTCTAGCTTCTTCTAAGTTGAATTCCCAACAAAAATTCCATACCTAATAATAATATAGTTAAGTACGTGAAAGATGCTCAAACTACATAACAGCAAAACAGATACTGGTTTCTCCTTTTGGTTATCTTCATACAGAGTAACAGAATCCTAAAGGTCCATACAACCTATCACCAAGAAAGTAAGAATATGGAGAAAAACCCTGGCACAAAAATAACCATATTACACACTGCACTTGAAAACTTCCACTTATCAAAATTAATATCCACTGCACATGACGAAACACAGAAAATAAAAATTTAAATCATCACACAACATTGGTTAGAGCACCATGACACTTTGTGAAGGATGAGATAGTCTTGAATCTGTTATAAATGGAACATTTTTCCATTAGACCCTAAGCACAGTTGAAATTGTTAATATAAACTACCAAAAGATTGTTATTAACATTTATTTTTATGTCACTGAATTCCAGCACGGGAGACAAAATTGGATGGAACCACATGATGCCCATTAAGCCCTCCGATTCTTTTTTATATATGCAAGTAGACCTAATCAAAAAACACTTAAACCGCAAATCGTAATTGACAAAACTAAAGCAAATTTGCATACCGTTAAAAATCGCATTGGAGCCACAGGCTTGACATTTTTATCAAGATCATTAAATAACTCCCGCGTTGCAACAGTCAATGAATGCGAAGTTTGATCCACAGAGTTGCTTCTAACTGGAGGAGGATACCTATAACAACAAAACTGGACTTTTACTAGCACAAATAAACTATATAGGTAAACTATTTCCAGTGAAAGATAAAACTCACTGCAGCAAAGCAGATTTCAATTCTGGGACTGAATGCAAACATTGTACTGTGGAGTTCATATAACAGGTGTTCCCCAGATTTATTAAACCAGCAGAGTGGCCCTGTAACAATTAGCAGCATATTCAGACCAGTCAATCACTTCTTGTTTATGAAAACACAGGATTCAGGTCAATAGTTTCAATGCCAGACCAAAAAGAAAGAAAGAAGCAAACATAAAGAAAAAAGAAAGAAAAAGAAAAGGAAATAATTTGAGAATGTGCAAACATAGTTATAAATGGCTACGCCGTGGCCCACCTCGGCAGAGGCCAATGGAAATCGCCTTGCCAGAAAACAGGGGGCCACAGGTTGCTGAAGTGGGTGCTTCTTGCATCACCGCAAACACCCACAGGGACAGCTTCAGCCAACCAAACCAACGAAACTTTAAGTAGACAAATATAAATAGTGTTATGGTACTCTTTAAAACTTTTAAGATGTTCTATAAAGTAAAATCTGCCTCTCCCACCTCAAACACACATCCCACCGCAGAGGACACAAAAAAACTAGAGTTTAGGTTCAGGGAGAAAATGAAATTACTCAAAGAAGATAGTCACTCATTGCAAATTAAGCTATTGCAGGCGTAACCAGCTCTTATCCAGCCAATAAAGCTTATTTTAAACTGAAATCTCGATAAACTTGTAATTGTCTTTATTCTCCTTCGTTTGTAACCTTTTTAGACGTTGGCTCGTGTTTCAATATTGTTTTTTGTTAATGACGTGATAATGACTTTTGTAGTGTGTGACTGGGTATATGACAATGATTGTGCAATCTGCACTTAAATATGCATTGTACAATTTATTTATTTTTGTTTTTCCTAACTCTGGTGGCATGGCATGTTCACGAGGTCGTGGCATGACCTCGCTTCACGCCTCGAGGCCATGACTTGATAAAATCGCTACGGCTCGCCATTGCCTTTAACAACTGTGTATGCAAAGCCACCAGAATATTTATCATTGATAAGCTGTAGCACGGATAATTCTGTCCACAAATTTTACAGAAAAATCAACTTTGACCTATATAAGTCCCTGGAAATGCAGACAAATAAACTCAACGGTAACTTTTCTTCCATAATTGTCCAGAAGGAACTCATGGAACAATTTAGCAGTGAGATATTCTAATATACGGATAATTCTACTCGGAACTACCAATCCCACATACTGTTCCATTAACTCACAGAAACATTTTAACTCACCAAAGAAACCACTTGTTCTTCTTCTGGCATGTCTTCCACAAAAACGGGGCCCTTTTCTGGGGCCTTCACAATTTCATCTGCAGTTCCCATCATCATTAATTTCTGGCCCTGAACCAAACAAGAGAAACAAAGAACACTAAAAACAAATTCCAAGTGAACTGCAGTATAACTAGTCTCATACGATGGAAAATTTGCATTACCTCCTTCACTCCTACTTTTGACCAATCTGCATCATCCTATATGGTAAAACAATAATGCATTAAAAATTAAATCATTTCTGACTTGACATAAATTGTCAAAAACTCGAAGAAATGAATAAAGCTGATGTTTTAAATTTTAAATGACAACAACAAAAAATCACGCACCATATTGTTATATCTTATAAATAATAAAATCCTGTACCTTTAGTAAACCACCTTTGACCATAATCTTCTGTCTTTCAGGCGCAACTCCAGTTAAGTCGAAGAGCTGGCATTTGAAAACGTATGGGGGTTGGGTAGTGTCTATTTCCACATCGGTAAACAACTCCTTTTGCCACTTCACACTAACTGAAAGTTTACCAAACATGAACACAGGTTCATATGCAGACATCATTCACAATCTAAGAAAAAACTAAATAAAAATAACGAGGGAGAATGAATTCAGTAAAAATTGATATAATAAAGCCCATCTGATGATAATCCTCCTGTCAACACATAACTAGAATACAACATGGTCAGTAGGTGTAGCTTGACCAATCCTGCCCATTATGTTCTGTCAGTGATCTTCATAGCATAGTCTATATCTTTCAAATAGAAAATATGTTTAGGGTCATCGATTGTATCTTAGGTCGACAAATCTCAACAGTGTCCTAACATCTTCAATCACTACCCACACCATCCAACGTATTAACAGCCAAAATAGAAACTGGGAATAAACTATCCTCTTTCAACATGACACACATTTTCACAATTTATGCGTTCCAATAGCAGTTAATCTCAGTCAATTATAGTATACATTACTCCAACCTTATAATCAAATGCAACAAACTACTGTTCTTTAGCACAAAGACGATCGCAAATTCGGCATTCGAAAACATAGAAACTGGCTATTCTCCTATGGTGAGAATAGAACAGAGCCGCTAAGTTTGAAAATCAAATCTCCCATCCCTTCTCAATCCGGGAACAATCAGGACAACAAAGTTTCACCAAATTAACACTAAGAAAATCAATGAAGTGCGAATATCAAAACAAAATCCCACGCATATAGTGCTTCAACAGGGGCTACAAGAAAATGAAATCCCAACCAAAAGCTGAAGCTGTGTCGGATAAAAGCTTTTATCTCTTGATAAATCGGCGCCTCTGTGTAAAAAAAAGCTTATACCAACAAATCGAAGCACTGAAATTAACACTGTAAATGACAAATGATCTGACCTTTCAACATAGCTTCTGCCTTCGAGTATCTTCGACCTGGAAAATTCGGAGCTCGACTGTGTGTGTCGTGCGTGTTCTTAGCTTGCGCGGAAGGGCAAATGGCACTTGGGGTGTATATATATATATATATATATATACAGGTGTGGCCGAGAAATATATTTATTGTTTGTTTGGGGACGCGAAAATAATTATTAGATAGTTAATGGATTTGTCTTTCATCGCCCCTTATTATTCTTTTCTTTTCCCCCTGTTATTCGATTTCATTTCATTAATAAACAAAATACTTTAACCTAGTTGATCAGTCTCTACTAATTATTTAACAATCTTAAATAAAATAATAAAATTATCTATTATTTAATTGAAATGCGAGTTACAAAGTATTATTGTAAGAAAAATTAGTTTTGCATCGATTTAACGGTTCTATTTTTGTGAGCGAAAGACTTAGAAAATTCTCAAAATCATTTTAAGATGAATGAGAAATTAATTCTAAGTTGTATTTGTGGAAAATGTAAGGTTGAAGCAATTGAGTTTGAATAACTCAAATGTTATTGGATTCGCAAAACATTCCGTCTTTGATGAGTGTTAGGACAATCCAAACAAGACAGAATCATGCAGTTTGCATGCTCGAACTCTAGAGGGGTTCGTTAGGGACAAGTAGAAAAGAACAGAACTCAATTTCGAGTCCGTATGAGCTCGTACGAGCCCGTGGCATACGAGCGCGTAGCTGGTTGGGGCCACCGAAGGATCGTGACCCTTGGTGACCATTAGGTGTCTTCTGATCACTAGATGCGTCCGTTCTTGTTCGGATACATCCCAAAATGTGTCTTTTGACACTTGAACCTTTTTGAGGTATTTTATCCTACATCTATAAATACCCACAAGTAAATCATTCAGCATATCAAATTTTCAAGAGCTCTTTGCATTCTTTTACAAAGTTCATAAATCATCTTGTGTTCTTTGTGTTTCTTTCTATCTTGAGAGACTCCAAATAATAGTAGTGTTCGCCGAAGTCTTGTATATTTGAAGTATCGTCATATACAAGTCGAAAGTCGTTGTATCTTGGAGGCATTTGCCGTTAACCGTGGGTATTTTACGGAGCAATTTTGTTTTAAGAAGAACATAATTATTACGTGTCTCGACTTTGATCTTTGTTTCGTTTTTCTTCATTCTCCTTAAGCTTACTTGGTATTAGATAATATTGTGTTGTCCATTTCGAATAAACATTTTTTATGTATCGAACAAGACAACGTCGTCTTTGACGTCAAGGTTCGAGGTATATTGGAGTTCGTTCTAGTTTTAACAAAGCAAGAGAAGTGTTGCAAACTCTTGACACGATTGAAGAATTGTCATCACTAGGGTTGCATCCAACAGGGGTGTTGTTATGTAATTGTAAACAACGATTTTGAAAGTAAGTTTGTTTGATTGTTATTGATGATTTGAACGTAAGACATGCATAAAAAACTCAACAATGGCCCCGGTTTGAGGTGAACCGAGGTGGAAAGCTTCTGTGAGCTTTCTCGTGTTTCATGTTAAAAATTTGGTTCGGGGATCCCCCGTACAAGTAGCGGGAGTTTGCTATTTATAGTAACTTTTTACATATCGGGATTTGTGCACTGCTTTTTTCATAAAGCTACTTTTGTTGGGCGACATTTGTCAGCTGGTCCCACTTGATCTCGTGATTTGTGAAGGTGGCGTGTAGGCGCCTTGTCACCAGCTTAGGAGGTGGTGACCTCGGTTCATAGCGACTTCGATTCTGGGGTGACCTCGGCGACTTCGATTCTGGCATGACCTCGGTTGTGAGGATCACCTCGGTCTTCTATAGCTTGGCCGGTTCTATACGGACTGGGATAACTGTTGGACACGTCATTGCTTGTAATAATCCATTTAATACGCAGTTCGAGGCTTCTAACTTTGGATTACCGAGTTGGGTGATAACAGAGAGGCCCCCAGTATCGGCGGGCATACGAAGTGGTGTCCATCGGTACTGCAAAATGCATGGAGACTCCGACTCGGTAATAAGCTGTAGGGAGGAAGTATTCGTTTTGAGGTGCTTGTATATGTGAGATAACCGAAGTGAATTTGTGTATTCCGAGATGAAGATTAATTCCCGAGGTGAGAACACTTGGCGAAAAATCGTGCCAAATCTGGGCAGCATTGGAAAAAATCCGAGGGGACGTAACGGTCGGGCGTTTAATGAATAGTGTGAAAGGTCACGCCGTAATGGTCTTAAATAAAATAACGACTACTTTAATGAAACAGCGGCCACTTGGTTGCACTGTTTCAGATGAGAGGTCGCGTTGGTTATACGTGCCTTTGATTGAGAACCCTAACGGTCATAAATTAGGGCTTATAAATAGGGCATCGAGGATTTTAATCGAACTTTCTTCGCTTTCATTTTTGTTCTTCAAACTCTTGCAAACTGCTATCGACATTCTTCTGCAAATTTGAGATTTGTTTTTTGTGCGTGATTGTCGGGTCGCTGATTCCTTGGTATGCTTCGTTGTTGATTTTAATCTATTTCCTTGTTCTGTATTTTTCTTTTTGTTCGATGGCGTCGAAGGGAAAGAGTAAGGCCGTTGCAAGTTTTTCTAGTACCGAGTCGGTTCCGTTAGAGGTGTACCATGACTCGGAATTAGTCGAATTAACTTCCGAGTATCACCGGTGGGATCCGATGTTGGTGAGACATCTCGATATCAAGCCGAACGACGAAGTTGGTGATAATGTTGTAGAGGAGAACGCCGCGGATCTGGAGGAACATTGGAGGAGACCGGTGAGGAGATGGCCTGATCTTGCGGTGGATTTTGAGGGCGAGCCTAGTATTCTGACAGATGCCGACGTGGTGATGCTCCGGGAGCAAATCCGGATTCCGCCTTCGGTGAGGATTTTTGCGCCCTACCCCGGAGAGAGAATAACTAGCCGTCCTCTGGGTTGCGTCGGTATATTTGCAGAGAGCTTGAGGTTGGGGTTGAGATTCCCCTTGCCAAATTTGATTACAGAGTACCTCCGAAGTTGGGGGTTACCCTTGTGCCAAATAACACCAAATAGTTGGAAGAAAATCATAGGATTGATGGTGTTGTTACATGAGAGGGGTGAGGGATTGCCGTCGTGTGAAGAAATAAGAAGCTTTTACGCTTTTAAGAAGATCCCAAAAAGGAGAGTGGCGGAATCTTCGTGTTGTTTCTTTGCTGGAGCAAAGCCACAACATGGTCTTCAAGTTGGTGAAATAATAACCGACATCCCGAAAACACTCCACGGTTTTCAGGAGGAATGGTTATGGGTCGGCGGGGCGTGGCAGTCTGAAAGCTTTTTCCATGAACCTCGAATAGACGGGATGACGATTCCGATGTATATTCATTCAGGAGCGAGTGAGTGTATTTTGTTGTTCAGTCCTTTGATATTTTTCTGACATCGATTTTATTTTGTGTACTAACAGGTCGGTACTTGTCCTGTTTGTAAAGAAGGAGACAAAACAGAAAGAACCTAAGCTCAGTCCGAAATTCGGTGGGAAATTGCTCGTACTTGCTGGCCTTGATAAAGATATCCGAGACTACAGGAAACTCGTGGTAGACTCGAAACTTGAAGTTGCGGGTCTATCTCCGGGAGTCTCAACTTCTGATTTTGAACCCGGCAAGAGAAATGTGACATTTCGTGTCTTAGAGAAAGGGCTTGAACCTTTGACCTTGTGGTTAACAGGGGTCCATCATGCACGGGATTGAGAGAAAATACATGGAAACAATTAGGGCATGACATGCGTCTTGTATGTCTCAAATGAGCTATTTGACCCATCAATTTTAGATCATCAAGGGTGAAAATAGTATATTATTTGACGAGCTACCAATTGCTATGGTTGGGATGGATCACATTGAGAGTAAAATAAGGTATATCAGCCATTTATGAGGATTGGCTGGCGGTCTTTTGACGATAAAAAAAGACCATGGAACAGCACCATGCGGAGGCATTACAATATCATCATGAAGTCGTAGCCAACATTAATCATCAATTGGAGAACAAGAGGGTCAAAGTGCAACCACTAATAGAGATTAAATGTGTGCTAGTTTTGTATGATAAGTTACTTTTGGCTTATATTACTATAAATAATATAATTGTTGTACATATAAAATCATGTGTCTATCATACTCCTAAAAAAAAGATTAAAAAGCTACAATTTATGGAGTAATCTCTAAACATAACCCTCTCGATCGGTAACCGACCGTAACAATATTGTTCGAGGCGTCCCTTGAAGTTCAATTCTCTTATGTTGTCGACCCTTTTTCCTAAAATAGGAAACAAAATTTACAGGAAATTTATGGTTATGGAAAATTGATGGATTTGGGATTTTAGAGCTTTGTATTTGGAAAAGAAATCACGAACACTGTGTGCATAGACCAGAGTTGTAAATGAATTAACATTCACAAATAAAAGTTCGTTCGACTAGAAAATTAGGCTCGTTTAATAATCTAACAAACACGAACTCATTCGCGAATGTTCACGATCATTGATTTAACATTATTTTAGTTTACTTTTTATATATTTACATATATAATATTTTTACATATGTTTAAATAAAAAATTAAATCATTAATGCATAGTTTCCATATAAGTAGGCTTTTGTTTTAGTCAATTGCTGATAGCAGATTGACAGGCAAAGATTATATAAATAATTCGCATCCGATTTTGGGATTCTCATTTATGGAGGTTTTTTTTTTATTTTATTTTAGCAGATTTATTAAACATTAATTTGGATTAGAATATATGTTATATGCACAAAATATTTTTCGATTTTAAAATTCTCATCTATAGAGGATTTTTTTAATCATATTTATTAGAATCAACTATTTAAACTGACATGTGTGTTCCATATACAAAATACAATTTTGTAAAATTATTTAAATTTGTCTATGAATGAACGATTTGTAAAATTAGGCCCCCAATTCCCCCAATTCCCGATCTCCTTCCCCCTAAACCCTAGTTTCTGTCGCCGGAATTAGTGCCTCCCTTGGCGTTCATATGTCCTGTCGGTGGACTGCTCACCACCGAGTGTCCTCGCCGCTAATCGCGGCTCTCCCTCTTCGTTGCTCTGGTCGCGGGGTGAAGATGGTGGTCTTCGTTCGTCGTTCTGTGCTCGAAGGCTGCCGGAGCTCCCGGTTGGAGAGGCGAGGTGGAGCGCGGCAACAACAGCGGGATGCGGCTCCTCTTGTGTCGTCCTTGTTCAAGTATTCCCCGTTTTCGGGCTGGGTTAGTCCCTTCGGGCAGGGTCGGTGGGGCGGAGCTCTGACGCCATTCGTCCCCTTCCTCCCTTTCTCGGTTTCTGAGTTAGTTGGAGGTCGTCAGTCTACGGAGTTGGCTAGTGGTGTTAGACAATTTCGAGATGGTTTGGGATTGGCTAGTGGTGTTAGCCGGTTGGGGGGCGATTGTGGTTGCTTGCATTTGGTGTGCGAGTCAGTTCTTTTGGTTTGTTCAGAGGCTTCGGTCTTCGTCTTGCTAGGTCTTATGCAGTGGCCGACACGGTATCAGAGCTTTGGAGCTCTCCTTGGAATTGACTTTGTCTACTGTCTTTTCGGATGTTTCTGCTGAGGG